AGTAGTAGTAGTAGTAGTAGTAATAGTAGTAGTAGTCGTAGTAGTGGTAGTAGTACTAGAGGTACTACAACTAGTACTCCTACCACTACTCCCACAACAACTACTACAACTGCTGCTGCTACTATACTGCTACTACTACTACTACTACTGCTTCTAGTCTTACAACTGCTACTACTACTCCTCGTATTACTGCTGTTGCTATTACTGCTGTTGCGACTACGACTACGACGACGACTACAAGTACGACGGCTACTACTACTGGTACTACTAGTACTACCTCTACTACTACTCCTACTACTACTACTACTACTGCTACTACTACTACTACTACTACTAATACTAATACTACTACTACTACTACTACCACTACCACTACTACTACTAATACTACTACTAGTACTACTACTACAACAACAACTACTACTACTACTACTACTTCTACTACTACTGCGAGTACCGCTGCTACTGCCCCTACTACCAGTCCTACCACTACTGCTGCTACTACTACTACGCCTGCTACGACAACGACTCGTACTACTACTACTACTACTACTACTACTGCTACTCGTGCTAAAACTACTGCTAGCACTGCTGCTATGACGACTACTACTATTACTACTTGTACTACTACTACCACTACTACTACTACTGCTAGTACTACTACAACTACTGCTACCACTATTATTACTACCACTACTACTGCTACTACTTCCACTCTACTACCCTCGCGTCTACGACAACTACGACGACTACTACGGCTACTACTGCGACTACTAAGGCCTCTAGTAGTCGTAGTAGTAGTAGTAGTAGTAGTAGTAGTAGTAGTAGTAGTAGTAGTAGTAGTAAGAGTAGTCGTAGTAGTAGTAGTAGTAGTAGTAGTAGTAGTAGTAGTAGTAGTAGTAGTAGTAGTAGTACTAGTGGTAGTAGTCGTAGTCGTAGTAGTAGTAGTACTACTACTACTACTACTAGTACTCCTACTACTACTCCCACTGTTGCTACTACTACTGCTGCTGCTACTACTACTGCTTATAGTATCACTACTACTACCACTCCTCACACTACTGCTGCTGCTACTACTCCTGCTGTTACGACTACGACTACGACTACGACTACGACGACTCCTACTACTACTACTACCACTACCACTACCACTACCACTACTACTACTACTACTACTACTGCTGATACTAGTACAACTACTACTAGTGCTACCACTGGTACTATGAACTGCTACTACTGCCGCAACTGCTACTGCTACTACTGCTGCTGCTACTACTACTCTTACTACTGCTGCTGGTGCTCCTGCTATTGCTACTGCTGCTGCTCCTACCATTATTATCAATACTACTTCTACTACTTCTGCAAGTGGTAGTAGTAGTAGTAGTAGTAGTAGTAGTAGCAGTAGTCGTTGTAGTAGTAGTAGTAGTCGTAGTAGTAGTAGTAAGAGTAGTAGTAGTAGTAGTAGTAGTAGTAGTAGTAGTAGTAGTAGTAGTAGTAGTAGTAGAAGTAGTAGTTGTAGTAGTAGTAGGAGTCGTAGTAGTGGTCGTAGTCGTAGTCGTAATCGTAGTAGTAGTAGTAGTAGTCGTAGTCGTAGTAGTAGTAGTAGTAGTAGTAGTAGTAGTTGTAGTAGTTGTTGTAGGAGTTGTAAGAGTTGTAGTAATCTTACTACTGCTACGGCTGCTGCTTCTAGTGCTGCTGCTGCTACTACTACTGGTATTGCCGCTGCTTCTGCTGCTGCTAGTGCTACTGGGTCACACCTGACTTATTGCTGGTGAGGTTTGAGTTCGGGGTTAGGTTAGGGTTCCGGTGGGGTCTTACTGTAAACGGAATCCTATTATATTCGAAATCCTCTTGTAATCGTAATCCCATGTAATCGGGATCCTGTAGTAATCGGGGTGTCCTAATGTAATCGGAATCCTAGTGTAGCTGGAATCCTTGTGCACTCGGATTCCTCTTGTATTCGGTGTCCGATTGTAATGTAATTGGATTTTTATTGGAATCCGACTGGAATGTTATTGCACTCGGACTCCAATTGGAAACCGACGATAATCTTATTGTGTCGGAATCCTACTGGGATCCTCTTGTAATCTCAGTCCTATTGGAGTCCCAGTGGCCTCCCATTGTAGTCGGATCCAATTGGGATCAAATTGGATCCATATAGATTCCAATGGGGTTCCATGCGGATCTTATGGGATTCCGTATGGATCCTATAGAATACTTCAAGATTTAATCAAGATCCTGTGGGATTCCATAGTCGACCCTGTTCGATTCCAGCGGAGCCCTAGAGGATGCCATCGGGATCCTATAGGATTCCATGAACGATCCCAGAGGGTCCCATAGCAACCCGATCGGATTCCATAGGGGTCCTATTGTATTCCATAGCAGCCCTATCGGACCCCTACGCTCGACCGCAGCTGCGTCGTTCGCGGGGGCAGCTGCCGGCGCGACGGCGAGCGGCCGCTGCTGGGTGACAAACGCGGTCGCAAGCGCGCTGGGTGTCGGCGCGAGCACCTCGGGCGCCGGCGCCAGAACGGGAGTCGCTGCAGCGGCGCCCAGGAGCTTCGCGGGGGCGCTGGATGTCTCGGCGAAAGGTGGCCAATGCGCGGATGCAGTCGCAGCCGCGTCACAACGCCGCGAACCTGAGTGCGCTGCCTGGATGACCGACGAAAGCCCGCGCTCGCAAGGGCACCCGGCGGCGTGTTTGCGGGCCCGCCGGCCGGTGAGGTTGATGCGCGGCTTCGCAGCCGTCGGCTCCGCGCAGCATCGCTTCTGCGCGCGAGTGCCAGCGGTCCAGCGCGAGGTCCAGTTGGAAGCGGCAGTAATGCACTGTTGGAGGTCTCTCTTGAACCTTCCGCCCGTCAAAGCCAAGGTTCCGCGCCCCAGATGAGCCGCGCCGAGCAGCTCGCGCTCTGCGCGCTGACTCGCCAGCTTCGCCCCTGTAGCCTTGAAGGCGTCCGTCGCCGGAGGGCCGCGCGGCGCCGCCTGGGAGCCGACGAGGCCGTCAGCGCCCAGTGGAACTGACAGAAGGTTGGCCTCCCTCCCCGCCGACTCGAACAACTCCCTGTCGTCCGCGTGCCAGCTGATGTACTCGGAAGGATCATCATAAGCGTTCACCGCCCAGCAGTTTGGCAACTCAGACGCCTGCGACAAGCCGAGTGACTCCGTCAGGAACTTCTCCAGCTCGCCGAACACCTCGGTCTCGTAAGAGTCGCCAGCGCCGTACGAGAAGCTGTCGTGTCTCTTGGTGCCCTCGTGCGCGTACCTGCAAGTGCATGGCGCTTTGAAGAACCTGGCAGTGCGATAATGCTCCGGCTTGAAGTCGGGCGGCGAATCAAAGTTCAGCCCAATGCTCGCCGCGCGAAACCTTAGCAGGGATATCATCTTGCATGTCAGCTCGTGCGGCACATCTTGCAACTCTTGCCATGACACTCTTTGGGGTCCTACCCTCAGCCCCCAACTCATGCCACCGCGCTGGTCGAAAGATGTCCTGCGATCCACCTCGGACCACCCTATTCTCACGTGCTGCTGCTGCTCGTGGGGCTCCTGCTGCTGCTGCTGCTGGTACCGCTGCTATTGCTGCGTTTACTGCTACTACAGCTGCTACTGCTGCTGCTGCTACTACTACGACGACTAATATTTGTATTACTACTACTACTACTACTACTACTACTACTACTACTACTACTACTACTACTACTACTACTACTACTACTACTACTACTACTACTACTATCATTTCTACGACGACGACGACTACTACTACTACTACTACTCATCCTACTAATCCTACTACTACTATTATTATTACTACTACTACTATTACTACTACTACTACTACTACTGCTCCTACTACTACTACTACTACTACTACTGCTACTGCTGCTCCTACTACTCCTACTCCTACTCCTACTCCTACTCCTCCTCCTCCTACTACTACCACTACCACTACCACTTCCATTACCACTACCACTACCACTACCACTACTACTACTACTACTACTACTACTACTACTACTACTACTACTACTACTACTATTACGTCTACCACTGCTACTACGTCTACTGCTGCTTCTGCTGCTGCTGCTGCAACTCCCACTACTAGTGCTACTGTTGCTGCTACCACGGCTGCTGCTACTCCTGCTGGTACTACTACTGCTGCTGCTGCTACTGCTACTTCTGCTGCTACTGCTTGTGCTACTACCACTACGACTACTACTAATACTACTACGACGGCTGCTGCTATTTCTACTGCTGCCACTGCCGATACTTCGGCTGCTGATGCTGCTGTTGCTACCACTGCTCCCGCTACTCTTGCTGCTAGTACTAGGGCTACTGCTGCTGCTACTACTGCTGCTGCTACAACTACTACTACTACTGCTGCTGCTACTACTACTGCCACAGCTGCTACAACTACTACTACTACTACTGCTACTACTGCTGCTACTGCTGCTGTTGTTACTGCTACTGCTGCTACTACTACTACTACTACTACTACTACTATTACTGCTGCTGCTATTGCTACGAATGCTGCTCGTACTACTGCTGCTGCAGCTACTACTTCTACTACTCCTACTACTACTACTACTGCTACTCCCACCGCAGCTGCTGCTGCTGCTGCGATTGCTGCTGCTACTACTTCTGTAGCTGCTACTTCTATTACTACTGCCACTACTGCTACTACTGCTACTACTTCTCGTACTACTACTCGTACTGCTACTCATACTGCTACTGCTACTACGGCGACGACGCCTACTACTACTACTGCTGCTGCTGCTGCTGCTGCTGCTACTGGTACTACTGCTGCTGCTAATACGGCTGCTACTTCCACTGCTATTACTACTGCTGCTTCTCCTCCTCCTACTACTACTACCACTCCTACTTACTACCACTACTACCATTACTATTACTGCTACTTCTACCACTGCTACTACTACTGCTACTACTACTGCTATGACTACTAGGCTTGCTACTACTGCTACTAATACTGCTACTGCTTCTAC